TTCAAGTGATGTTTCACCAAGATTGGTCAGACTGTCCACAGGTGCACTTGACTGGGACTGTCTAGATGCCACACCCACACATTTCCAACATTCCTTGGCTGGATCATTTCCAAGGAATCATAACGGCTCCACAGCAGGTGGCACAGCTGCTGATTTCTCAGCCAGTCAAAGCCAAGGCAATTGCACTTTTGAACATGTTTTGAGGGAGAGGGATCGTGAACTGCATGAAAGGAGAATAAAAACAATGGAAGAGCTGATCAGAAAACAGATGGCTAGAAAAGACAGAGAACAAAGAGAAATGCAGGAAATTGAAAGCCCTCAACTGCAGCAATTACATGTATGTGAAAGTAATTAGGAACAGTAATTTATAACAGTAAAATGATAAAAAATTATTGATTCTGTTATTCATAAAGGGCATTACTTATCAAAACCTACGTTGTCAATCATTTGGATATCCATTTTTGGATTTTAGTTATAATTATCATTCGGATTTAGATTTAGGTAAAGAATTGCGTCCTTTATAGAAACCATAAACATTTCCCAAAGTAATGTGGAATCTTTCATTGAAGACATTTTCACTGTTTATGATTGATTTCAGACTGCTAGAAAGTCACCCATTCAGAATTGCCTATCATGTGAAATATGTGTTGAAGTTGAGCAGCAAGATAATCACCAGTGTGAACCAGACAACTGCAGCATCTGTCTTGAGGTAAAGTTTAATAAATAATTTAAATTAATTAAATATTTGTATAAAGTCGACTCTCTCTTATACGAACACCTTACCTTTTGGGCAGGCATTAAGGGGCTATGTCGGCTGGAGAGCATGCGCGTTGAGGTTATGCAAACTACTTCCATCTGTCAAAATTCTAATGTTTTTATCGTGAATATAAAAATTTCTCTGTCATGTGCAGAGCACCGAATTTTACAGCGACGTTTAAAAGCGAATTAAGTTTGGATAGGGGACATTTTGATATAATTTACGGGACATTTCTTCTCAGCCCATTTGCACGATGAAGTTATTTTACTAAAATCCCACTACCAGAATCTTTCAGGATTTTGTTTTCTTGTGCTAATTGGGGCTTTTGTTATTGAAACCTCGCACGGATTAACAAATTTAAATATGAAAGGAAAAACGAAAAGGATTCTGGTCATAGTAGTAAAATGACGCCATCATGCAAATGGCCTAAGAATAAAAGTATTAAGACAATTTTACTTGTAGTTTTGAATTAAAAACGCATGCCACTCATAAAAATAGAGTGCAAACAAAAATTAAACAACATATTGTCATTGTCAACATAATAAATCAAAGTTTTATTTTATAAATGACCTGCAGAAGACTCTAGACCAAAGATAAAGACCGAGACTTGTCTGTTGCTACTTTTTTAAAGCTTACATGCTGACAGAACAAAGCGACGCCGGTTTTGTTGTCTTTGTTTACATTTCGGGAAACACATTGAACGCGGAAAAATTGCTTGATCGTGCTGCTGAATCACTGTGACGTTGAGAAAAACAGAACCAAGTATCACTGATATACTACTCCATTTCAAACAGTCCGTGAATAACGAGGGAATGTAAACTCTGCTATTTTCCAACAACCCGAGCAAATATGCTTGAACACAAACAGTTCAAAGCATTTCAAAGACATGACATTCATAGGATCGACTTTTTCAAGTTGTTTTCCACCAGCTCGCACATGCGCGTGGGCCGATATAGCCCCTTTAAGTGCCCGTCTTTTATTAAGAGATGTCCTTATTATAGAGAGTCATAGAGAGGGAGTAAAGAAGGAAAAGGACCAACTCTAAATGATTAAATATAATAAATTCAGCCTTAGTTTTAGAAAGATGCCTTTTTGATTTTTGAGGTAAATGACTTTGTTTAAAAGTTTCAATCTGTTGATAAATTTCTTTGACAGTTTATAGCGCTATAACCATCCTATTAAAACAATACCCAGCCAACTTTACCTCTTGCTCGGTCAATAACCCAGTATTATTATTAGTATTAATATTATTATTGTCAGTTCGCACGGTTTTTGTTGGTCGTCCAACCAGATCATTCCCAGGTACCAGGTGACCTCCCGTCACCTTAGGTATCCATCACCTTTCTTATAATTCTTATTGTTCCTAGTAAACAAGCTTTTTGTAATGGCAGAATACTTCCGTCGAGTCCTGCTTTCTTAAGATACAGATGGAATCTTTTACTGACTGTTCCGAGGGCACCAATGATTATCGGTACAAGCACGGCTCTCTTTTTAGGTCTTGGTATTTTTCGATTTTTTCCTGTTCTTTAAGACTTACTCAATGGTCAAATGGGAAAGCAATATCTATTATTGTGCAGCTCCTTTCCTTCCTGTCTACAACCACGATGTCTGGTCTGTTGTGCTCAATTGTGTGGCCGGTTTGAATAGGAAAATCCCATAGTAACTTGCATTCTTTCGATTCCTCCACTGGCTTTGGCTCGTGATCATACCAGTTTCATGAGCAATCAAAACCAAACTTTTGATAAAGTCTCCAGTGAACACATTTACCAACCTGATTGTGTCTCCAGCCTTTGTATTCTTTCGGAGTCAATTTCTTGCACTCTGTCACAATGTGCCTAATGGTTTTTCCTGTTCTCCGCACATTCTACATAATGGGGATATATCCTATGCATCAATTTTTCTTTCTTACACTGTTGGTACTTAACGCCTGATCCTGGGAAGCTGTTATGACGCCTTCTGTTTCTTTCTTTAAAATGCCTTTTCTTAGCCAAAGCCAAGTGTCTGTGCTTGGATCTCGTTTAGTAGCTCTTTCAAACTGTCCATATAGGGGTTTGCCTGATAATCACCTGTCCTTTTCCTTTCGATATTTTCCCGCAAGTTATCTTCAGTTGACTCTTTGAGCACACCCTCGCGTTTAACATCTGCAAGCAGAATCTCATTGCTTTGCTGGATGTGCGAAAAATATACCTTTTTTTATTTTCACGTACTTTGCAATACTGTCACATTCCAGTTCAACACAATCTTCCAGACTTATTTTAATAAGGCGGGAGAGGTCTAACCGCTATCCGCCCTTTCCATATATAACAACCTATCCACATCTGCTTGGGTATGCATCGCATTATGGATTGTCAGCAACTTCCTAGTCTTCCTATCCATCTTTCTCAGTTCCTCCATAGTCCAGTTAATAACCCCTGCTCCATAACGGTGATGAAGACCGCTCTTGAGTTAGTAGCCCTCATAACATTTCCTCCTGATAATTTGGAATTCAGGATACTTCGCACCATTCTCAAGTAGTCAATCTGAATGTTCCCCTTTATTGCTTCATGCTTTATATCGTCTGCTTCCAGTACCCCCAGATACTTGTAGGTTTCTCCTTCCTCACTCTGACAAAATTTCCCTCTTTTTATGACAAAAAGTGCACATTTTGATGTCCCAAATTCCATTCTAATATCTTGACTGAATAATTTATTCTCACAGTCTGAACAAGTTGGTCAAGTTCAGATTCATTTTTTCCATGAAGTTTAAGGTCATCCATGTACAGTAAGTGATTGATGACAGTACCTTCTCCAAGATGTTACCCAACTTTGACTTGTTTTAACAACACTGACAGAGGAATCAGGCCAATAATGAACAATAACGGGGACAAACACTTACAGTCACCCTCTAATCTTTGGTCTCCTGATTGTAAGTTCTGACTTCTAATGATTCATACTACTGTCCAACATTTCTCTGATATTCATTGTGATTCCAAACAATTCAAGACATTCCAGTCTCCATGAGTTTGGTATCATGTCGAACGCTTTTTTATAGTCAATCCATGCCATACTTAAATTTGTCTGCAGGGGCGTAGCCAGCCCATAGACCTGTAGACCCGTGCCTACGAATTTTTGGTTTGATCACTCTACCGCTTGTAATAAATTATGCTTTGTTGGGGTGAGCTAAAAAGCTTAAGAGCTCAAAGTGTTGGGGAGGTCAGCGTGTACTAGTCATGCGTGCAATTTTCAGAATATGTGGAAATGAAAGTCAGCCTGGCCCAGTTGTTCCAAAGCTGGATAGCGCTATCCACCGGATAAATCTCTCTCCATTGGATAAGTATTAGGGAAACCAATTGCGCTATCCAGTGGATAGTGATTTATTCGGTGGATAGCGCTATCCACCTTTTGAACAACTGGGGCCAGGCCTACAACTAGTCGAAAGCTGGCTATGCCCCTGATCTGTCTCCATTTGCATTTTTTTATGACTGCCTTATCAACAAGTAGTTGATCTTTTGTTGCCCTGGATTTTCGTTTACATCCATTCTGTTCGGGTGGTAAAAAGTTCGATCTCTCCGGATGACTGTATATTTCCGCATTGGAAATTACTCCTGTGAACACTTTCCAAAGCAGTGGCAGACAGGTTATTGGTCTATAGTTAGAAACTATGGGGCCTTTGTCCCTATCTTTCATGATTAGTGTTATTTGCCCCTTATTCATCCATCGTGGTGCATTGTTTTGTTGTAGGCAATTATCAAGCTGTTTGGCAATTCTCCCTGTAAGAGAAAGTTTTTAAGCCAGTACCCTTGAACCCCGTCAGGGCCAGGTGCTTTCCAGTTGGACGTTTTGTGTAACTGAACTCGTATGTTTTGCGGGGTGATTGAAATAGATGCCTGATTATCCACCTCCCCGAGTTGCTCCTTCAGCTGTAATAACCAATCAACATCCTTGTTGGGTCCTTTGGTTTCACCCCATATACTGCTCCAAAATGTTACACGTTCATTGGCGCCTGGTGCGGGGTCTTTTCCTCTAACTTTTCCGTCAAGCTCCTCAAACAAATGCCTTTGATCACTGTCAAACAGGCTGTTCCGCCAGAATTGTTTTACTTTATTTTCATATCGCTTTATCTTTGCAGCTTTTACAGTAACTCTTTGCTTTAACTGTTCCAAGACAACTTGGATGCCCTTTTCCTTGGCCTTACACTTATGTTATAGTGCAACTTAAACTCTCCTCTTAATAGGTTCCCTCCTTAAGATACAATTCAGCCTGCTACTAATGTCTTTTCTGAGTTCATCAATTTGTTTCTTTACCCTTTGTTTCCATGGTCGTTCTCTCCGTGCGCCCTTTGTTCTTCCTTCCTTTACGCCCAACGATCTCCCAGCAACAAACGCAGCTGCCCTTATCAGATTGCTTGTTTCAGTAATGTCCTTTGTTGTTTTAAAACTCAAAACCTTATCTACCTCCTGAACTTTCTGCTTCACTTTTCGTCGGTGTAGTCTACGCAAGTTGTATGGTTTTGTATTACTCCCCTGTTCAAATTATTCCAGTATTTCAGGTGCCAGATTGATGTACTCGTCCAGTCCATTCATATGCATTTTTGATCTGATAGATTCGTCAGTCCCGTTTTCATTCTCACTCGGTTGAGCATCTTCAGACTCAGGTTGTAAAGAGCTGTAGTGATCTGTAATGTCTGCATGATTCTCTCGAGTAACGTCTGTCATTTGCTCATTTGATGCACCACATCGATCAATTTTCCTCCTTAGTTCTTCCATTTCTAGGTCAAGCCAGTTGTTAACTTTAATTGCCCTCACCTGATCGGCAAGCCTTTGCTCACTACACTCAAATACACCAATATCATTTCTCCTGATATTTAACATGCGCTTCCTGTACCCTCTTCTAGACGGTTCATTTCTCAAGTAGCATTCCATCACAAGCTTATTCACTTCCCTCGTCCATGGAACTCTTGCGTTCACTCGTTTTGTACCCTGATTGTTCTGGTCATCCGCAGGACCTTTACTTCCCTGATCAGAGCCTGTAGTGTCTTTGTCAGGGAGGTTATCCGATTGTATGCCAGTATAGCTCACTTTTCGATCTCAGCCTGGCCACAGACCACCGAGAGACGCACTCCTTGGTAACCTGGCGACGAGTGAAGCGGTATTGATTTCTATTGGTTGCCAATTCGTACTGTCCCTCCGGGTTCCCATTTAGTCGCCTTTTACGACACGCAAGGGAAGACTTCAGGCTTATTCTCATGCCCACACCTGCAGGCCAGTTGTCAGCTCAGGTTCTGCTGAACCACCAATGCTGTTTGAAAAGGAGTAACCGCCGAGTCCGGTATATAAACTCCAGTGGTTTGACCGAGCTATCTTTCATTGTCAACAATATTAGTGATCAGTTAATTAATTGGCTTCCCGCTGTTTGACTTGGGGCTCTTGACACTGCGGCAGTTAAAATAAAGTAAATAAAATAGAAATCAGAACTCTGGGGACTATCTTACGTCTGTACTATCAAGGTAATGCTTATTTTTATTATTAAATAAATATTATATTTTTGTTTTGTTCTTAGCCAGTGGATGACTTCATTGGAAATCATGAATTACCTTGCCAACACAAAGTTCACTTAGATTGTTACATCTGTATGTTGCAAGAGGACTTGTAAGTCACCATATTTTGTGTTATTACAAATTTGTATTTCAATACTGACAATAGTTAAAGTTGAGGTAGTGGACAACAAGTCTCCAATATATCATTATCAATATCAATTTTCGGTGGTCTCTACTCTTATCGACCATAGAAATGACATCAAAATGTTCAAAAATTCAAGTGGAACCACGAGCCGGAGACGAGAGGTTTCACAGCAAAATTTTAAACATTTTGACGTCATTTCTATGGTCGATAATAGAAGAGACCGATGAAGATGATGTGAACTGCAGAAATACAAAGTGGTAATTGCCATTTAAGCAATTGCAAATTAAGCCCAAATATTTTCTGGACTTCAACGTGCGGGATTCGATTCAGTCCACTCACGTGTTTTGAACTCAACAAATTAGCCTGCTCATAATGTATGGGTCTTCATAGCTCAATTGATTAGGGCATTGCACCGCTAAGCAGAGGCCATGGGTTCGAATCTCGTTGAAGTCCCGAAATTTTTTTCGGGTTAATTTGCAATTGTTAAATTGCAATTACCGCTGCGAAGATCATGTCTTCATTTAAAAGAGAATAGTCCGTTCGCGCGGAGAAAAAACGTGGAGAGAGAGCGATCTCTTTCGTTTCGATCTCTAACTGAGGTGACACCGGCCTTTTCCCCACCCCAGTCCACCTGTTTTGTTTTGTTTTGTTTTGTTTTGCTTTTTTCCCCACTATGGAGCCTAGGCTTAGGCTATTCATCTTTTTTCTGCATTCTCTTTTTCGGCGCCATTTGTCCTCAGTTTCATGAGCTCCCTAGAATGAAAAAACGCACTTTTCGTAATCTTTGTACTATCAGTTGATTCTTGTAACAAGGAAATTGTGAATGGAGGAACGCTTTTACTAAATAGTTCAAGAGTTATTTATAACTGAACTGTTTTTTCTTGTCTGTTTCTAGACGAACTTGTCCCGTTTGTCGTCATCCCATCCACTGAGCGACGAAAGAGGGTCCCCTTACACCGTGGGCGAATGTTAGAATTTTGTTGCTACGTAACGAAATATGTGACACTGTCTGGATTTACGTCATCTGTTTAAGGCTCTTGTCCATCCGTGATCGATCATCGAGAGATCTCGAGTGAACGAAACCCTTACAAGCATATGTTTGTGACGGACTTATGTGAACATTGCCTAGTATCATTTCTATTTTTGCTGTTTTGTGTGTAACCACACGGCTTCCCAGGTTTTTGTTTTTTTTTTGTATAATATTAACAATTGCATGAGTCGTTTTGGGTCTTACCCAGTTTATATTAGTCGCTAATTTATCACTAGTTGTCGGTGATATAAAATAGCTATTAAATAGCTTTAAAATCTTTATACAGACGTAATAAGAGAAAAAGCATCCATGGGTACAACCCAGTTATTGCTTGATCATTGTTTAATAGCATGGAAGCCATGTGAGATCATTTCACCATTTGATCATTTGGCCTGCGTGGGAGGCTACTTTGACGTCTACAGTTAAAGAAATTTAAGTGTCTTGCACTCTAAATGTTGTTTATGGTATAACCCGCCGTTTATTGCGGAATTCTTAAACCCATAGCTATGGCTTGCTAGGTTGTAGCTTGAACTCTGTTTGTGCTTAGCATGAATTATTGCCTTGTAAAAATGACGGAAGACCTACGTCTCATTGCTGGGTGGTGTTGCTCACTCCAATTACTGATAAATCCATGCAAAACCAAACTCATTTTTTTCGGGACAAGGCAGCTCCTAAGCAAGGTGTCAGACATCAGAGTACCTTTCCTCGACCAAGAACTCACTCCGGTATCCTCAGTTAAGGACTTAGACATTACACTGGACTCATACCTCAACTTTAATGATCATGTAAACACGTTGACAACGTCTCTCTTGTCCATGTTATGTCAGATTAGTAGGGTCAGACACCTGTTTACGAAACCTGTCTTGTCAACTATTTTGAATTCTCTTATTTTTAGTAAACTTTTTTACTTTTCCACTGTCTGGGCAGGCACCTCAAAGCAAAATCTACAGAGGTTACAATTAGTGCAAAACTTCGCCGCCCGCGTATTAACAGATACCAAAAAGTTTGATCACATCTCGCCTGTTCTTCGGGAATTAGGGTGGCCCTCCATCAAAGATCAGCTATTATTCTGTGATACTACCCAAGTATACAAAATTGTTAATGGCCTCGCCCCGTTGTACCTGAGTAGTAAACTCAGTAAGCGATCAGATACGCACCACTACAACACGATGAAAAGGGACAATCCAAATCTCCCTCTATGCAGAACAGTTACCGTGCAACGGTCATTTTACTATCGCGCTGTAAGTGCCTGGAACTCTCTCTGACCGCAGCCACTAGAAATACCCCGTCACTAAGTACCTTTAAGAGGAGCGTCAAACGCGAATTGCGAGTGCAAAACCCATGCCTTAAATAGTTAATATTTGATTTAGTTTAGATCTCCAAAGAGATAACGTTATTGTACGCGTAGAGTTTAGGCTTTTAGTTTTGTACCAAGATTGTAATTAATTTAAGCTTTTTCTTGCTTTCCCCTCTTTTTTAGCATTTGTAAATTAACTTCAGAATAGCCCTTTGGGAGAGTTAATAAAAATTATTGTATTGTATTGTATTGTGCTAGTTTTCGTGATAAACTAACGCAGGATTTTCACTGCGGTAGGTTAGTTCGTTGGAACTATCGCTTTTTACGCCGCGATCTTTCGACGCAAATGTAACAATGCGAATTGTAACAACCTTTTGCCCAAAATGTAACAACTTTTGAACGCAAAATGAAACAAAATAAACATCGCAAATATCATAGACTGTAGGCCATGTGTGATGATAATATCTTCAATAGGCGCAACGTAAAAGGAAAACAACGGGCCAACCACCGAACCTTGAGGAACACCACAGACTACGTTAGCTGGATGAGAGTGAACATCTCAGATGATAATCTACTGTGAGCGATTAACCTGATACGATTCAATCCAAGCCAGGGAAAAACCCTTCAACCCGAAGCGGGTGTATAATCCTTTGTTCAGTCAAGCAATATCAGGCCCCAGTTGTTCAAAAGGTGTATAGCGCTATCCACCGGATAAATCACTTTCCAGTGGATAACGCAATTGATTTCCGTTATACTTATCCACTGGATAGTGATTTATCCGATGGATAGCGCTATCCAACTTTTGAACAACTGGGACTTGGACAACATCGTGATTATCGAGGGCCAAATTTATGTCATTAGAAACACACAACAAGGCAGTTTCCGTTGCTGTGATCAGCACAGTATGCTGACTGAGTTTCAGCTTACAGATCGTTAATGACCAGATAGTGTTAAAGCTACATTGTTACAAAGGAAGGTTACTGATTGGACGGTAGTTCTACACTTCGTGATCAAGATCAGACCTTTTAAATAAAGGTGCTGCCAGACCATGCTTCAAGGATGCCGGAAAATCTCCAGACATAAGCGATCGATTTAATGGGAAAGTGATACAAGGCAGCAGAACATCAATAACGTTCTTCAATAGATCCGTTGGAAGTGGATCTAATGAACAGGATTGGAAGGCGCAGCCATAATGGATTTTTACCCTCGATAACTCGAACCATGTTTTGAGCCCTTAAAAAGTAAGGAAAAAACTGAATAGCGTCCGAAACATTGAATTTTGAATTTCCCACCGGACGTGTTGCAGGCAAATAGTTTACTAGTGGAGGCTGATGATGATTGTCACAGGCTAACGTGAAACAGCTTTACTTCTCAAAAAAGTAAAATGCACGCTCTATTTCGGCAATGTTTTGATACGTTACGTTCTGATTTATAATCTAGACGTATCTTTCACTTTTCACTTAACATTTCTACAATTAAATGTGATTGAAATGTTCACTGTTCATAAAAACTTTTTTTCTTCCTTACTCCCGGCCAAAATCTTCGAGCTCCCGATAACTCGAACTTTTCTCGATTTCCCTTGAAGGTTCGAGTTATCGGGAGTCGACTGTACATGTCATTTTGAAACTTGCCCCAGTCCTCTCCCAGAAATAGGAGGAAATGCGTTTGGTGCGCATTTTCTGCAGCTCTACAGCAAAAACCAGTACGGTAACCCTCATTTTTTATTGCATGATTTTAATAAGAACAGTGCTTCCTTTCAATGAGAAAAAAAGTGGCAAAAATCTATGTTCAGTTTTCTGGCAGTTTTACTAAATTGTACGGATTGAGCCATAACGCTTCGAATAGCGCGTGTCCAAATTAAGTCTACTTAAAGTAAAAACAAGCGCATCAAAAGGGATTTTTCTGGTAGGTAGGTGGATAAATAATACATTTATGTCAAATTCTGTGCGATACCGCATGCATCATCAGAGG